GAACAATAAAAGATCAATGCCGATGTCTATCACAAGAAACAACTATAATTCAACGTGAGTGATAAGATATAGCTACTTTGTCATAATATGAAGACTAGTTGTCTTTGTAATAAGTTGGACTATCATAGGCTTTGACCTTTTTCTATTAGTAAAGAAGTCAATTCTATTGCTTATCAAATACATCTATTTGAGCCTATGAAGATCCATCTCATATTCTATATGTCTCTTCTTGAGGCTTATAAAGCAATAAATATCTAAAAAAGAAAAAAATACCACCTCCTCATATAGAAGTGAATAATAATTAATAATTCAAAGTAGAAGAAATCTTAGATTTAATGCAATGCCAGAATAGATTAGAATATCTTATTCATTGGTACAAATATGATTTTAATGAATGCACATGGAAGCCAACAAAGATTCTTGCAAATGCAACAAATAAGATTGAGACTTTTCATTGATGACATCCATCAAAAGCAAGATGAAGAATAATAAATCTTTGCTATAAAAGAAATAAGATCTAAAGAAGATAGCAATCTATCTTCTACTCTTGTTTGATACTTTTGTGCATTTTTCATGCTAAAGAGATGAAAAACCAACAATCAATAGATTCAACTCAAGAGCTATTACTTATTGACTTACTAAACAAAACATTGCAATTTTCACAATCTTTTAGATAACACAATTGAAATGAAGATCTTCAAGAATAACATGTCTTTTCTTGAATAAATGTCAAGATATAACATGTTTGGTGTCATGACCTTAAAAATGACTCCCAATGTTTGGTGATTTTATTAGAAGTTGAAACAATCATTGGCAATGTTTCAAATGTTTTATTTGAAAGGAGTTACGAAGGCCTCAACAACAATCAAATAATAGGGTGGTCTTCTTGCCTTGATATGGGATACTATCAATGGTTGAGAGGACCTATCAACTATGATCAAAGAAAACAAAGATGAGAGTATGTCGCAAACATAATTCACAACATCTTGGATTTTTTGAACATATAATGATCGCTTCTTGTGAAACTTCTCTTTAAAAGTGTGGACAATGTCACGGACATATATATTTATTCTATTATTTATCTATATGATTAAATAGAAATAATTAAAAATAGATTTATTTCAAAATATTTTCTAGAAAAGTTTCCTAAAAGCTTTGTAGATAAAGCTTTAACTTTATATGTGTTTGTAATTGATTCGTAGGTTAGAAACTTGGTCAAGAAATTAACCACATATTGATGGCGTGCAAAAAAAGCTAATTATGTAGCGCACATACAAAAAACTTGCCTCACAAATTAAGATATGTGTCTTGTAAAGTCAACATGTTTTGGAAGTCCTATAGGACATTACCATGTAGTTCTTAGTTAAGAGTATATATAGAGGCAAGAATAAAGCTTTCTTCACTCTTGTCAATGCCTTTTTAGTGTTTAGTCTTATTTCAAGAATTTCTAGTCTTCTTGACTTTAGCAATAGCCATTTTAGTTTAATACTAAATTATCTTAGAATGATTTTTTAGTCTTTTCAAGTCGAACATGAGTATATTGATAATTTAGTTCTTTGAGATTCATATCCTTGATAGAATCTTAACCTATATGCATGCAATATTTCACTATAATGCATAAGAATTTCTAACATTTTCTTCATATTGATAGACTTAATTCATGCCTTGAAAGCCAATACAACCGCAAGTAGAAGCCTAATAGAGATATCTATGGACTAAGTAGTTATTAAACCACTTTACATTCCTTAGGTTATCAAAGTTATCTCTAAATAATCAATTACAATTGATTTTTGTTTCTTCTCAATAACCAATCAAAATCAACTTTTATCTCTTTATCTTAAACATATGTTTTGTATATAATATACATATATATATATATATATATATATATATATATAAACACAATATTATTAATGCTATCATTTTTTTTCTATTATTACTATAATTTATTCTAATTAAAATTTTATTTTATTCTTTATATAATTTGCATAAAAAAAATGAACATATTGAATTTATTATTTTGTATTGAAATAATATTTTTATAGTTTTTTTTTTTTTTTTTTTTTTTGTATAAATGACAAGTTGTATTGGCAAAAGCAAAAATGGTGGTGACATTAGCAATAAATATATATATATATATATATATATATATATACATATATACATGTCACACTACATTTAAATACCTTTCAAGATTCATGAACGTAATGTAGATTAAAAAAGATCTCAAAAACTTATGAAAACACACTCAATGATGTCTTGTGAAAATTATCAAATTTAAGATAATATATATTTTTTGTAATGATTTATTGATCCATACAAATAATAGTATGTATCTTTTCTCCAACAAAAGAATAGTAAATCTATGTTCAAATAAACACATCTGTAATCTAGAATAACAATTTAGCAATCAAGCACAATTGCATGGAGTCTAAATTATGAACCAACAAAATCACTCCATGAAAATCCCGGAACAAGAGCATCAATTTTTGAAGGACCCAAAGGACAAATGGGATGTGGGGAAGCGGGATAACTCAACCCGGCTCAACTCAGCCGGCACCCGTCCTCATTAAGCCTTACGTATGGGAAAGCTCTCCAAAAGCTCCCGAGGCGCCATGACGAGCCGCCCACTCGTGCCGCATGCGGATTCGCAGTTGAATCCGCTCGCTCTCCCCATAATAGCCCCCTCTACTTTTTCCCACCCTTCATATTCTCCAAGTCCGTATATTCGTGTATTATTAAATACGTATTTGAACAAACCTGTAGACAAGGAGGGCACATGGCGGGAAGGGTAGAGCCGGGAGGGGTGCACCCTTCACACTGGGTCTTACGTCAGGCAGCCAGTGGCCGACCTCCACGTCATCCTCCTCCCACTCCTTTTGGCCTACGTGGACCGCCATGTTGGCGATCTTGAATGGCCGATGGATGCATCGCTCTCCCTTTTCCACTCCCAGTGCAAGAAGGAATATGCTGGGGGGGGGGGTGAATCTCTTGTGGATAAGGGGGGAATAGTCATTCTGTTTATTTGTTTCTCTGTGGGTCAAACTCGGTGGGTTCGGGTGATTCTTGAATTCGTGATTTTAAATTTTGTTATGGTTTTGTTTGAACTTGTGGGGCTTTGTAACATGGTGCTGGGAAAGAAGCCAGAATAATAACGGAGAACGGAATCACAAAACCCATAATGAGACCATGCTTCGTTCATGGAATATGGCAACAAGTTCGACTTGTCTAGTACTCCTCCTCTGCTCGACTTACCTGGTCTAGAGCGGACCAATAAAAGAAAGCACATTAGTCATAAATAGTTAAAAAGCCACCCATTGGTCTTGCCAATCCCATTCTATGAATGATGCACACCCACCACAGTGAAAGTCAAATGTCGAGGTTTTCATTGGCTCTACTGTGTTCCCCTCCAGCTGCTCCTCTCATTATCGGCATGTTCCCTCAAGGTGGCGAGTATGAGGAACATGCGCGCATTCGTTCGAAGCTATGAATTTTGTTGCGGAGTTGGCTCCTCGGCACCGAAAAAGGAATTTGAAGACAAGACCCACCTTGAGAACTCCGCCAAGATGCGAACGGTTCTAAGATAATTTTAGGAGACGATCGTGCTCTGGACTTCCCTCGGGTAGACCCCAAGTGTGATATGAGTGCGCACAGGCAGTGCATAATTTTGTGGAGGCTTTTGAGGGCTGGGTTTTGAGCCCCATTTGTTTTGTCCTTTTGGAAAAGAAAAAAGAAGAAGAAAAGCTGAGTGAGTCACGAGGCTTTTTCTTTGGATGAGAAAGGCTGTGGGGAAGATGCTTTTGTGTTGTGACAAGTAGCTCATGAGTTTGTGCCTTGTTTCTGCATGAGGGCACTGTTGTTGGGCAATTGACCCTGAATTCCTGCACCAAGTCAGGGTCGCCATGCCCTATTTTTGCCTATCATCCATCGACAAGCCATCTCATATGAAGTTCTCTCATAGACGGGGTGACTTATCTTCATGGGTCGCGGCTTTGGGAAGAGGGATTGATTTGCATGGTCGTCGTGACTAGGTTCCAAACAGTCAGGGTGAGTGAATCTAAAATTTTACATCATACTTTGAAATGAATTACCTTCGTTTTCTAAGATTGCCTAGTGAGGACTTTGTTGATGTGATGGTCCAGTTACGATATCTTGAGTACATGGAAAGACTTGCAAGTGTGTTATTTAACTCTCTCTTTCTCCTATATATATATATATATATATATATATCCGTCTTTACTCAAATCCATCTGGAGGATGTTAAAAAGAGATTTTGATAGTCTGAGTTTCGTTGATAATTCCTAGCTTTGTGAAGTTCTTACTTTATACGGAGAGGAGATAATTGAGTTGGATGATTGTTGCTTGGATAGGGAGTGAAACATGAGGAGTGAAATAGAGGCACAGCAGAGCCTGCATGTAGACAAGAGCCCTGTTGCAATCGATGGCATCAAGCAAGTGATGACTGGCTCACTGGGCATTGGATTGTGGCAAGGTAGCTGAATCTAAGTGAGCTCCAATGTGGCCCGATGGTTGGGGCGCTACAAATTACTGGCAGAGAATGTCCAACTTACCCCCACCAACGGCATTATCAAAACAATGGTCATTCACTTTACATACACTGCTTTTCTCTAATACAAGATTTCTTAAGGACAAAGCGAAAAAAAATCTGGTAACGAGCTGCCTCAGCAAATTTACGTTCAGGAATAGCCTTAGCAGCACAACTTTCAGGAGATGGTGACTGGTTACTGGCCAGGTACAATAGTTACTTGGTGTTGCATGCCTCGAATTTCCACATCTTCCGACAAGAGGTTGGACAGATGAGATTGGCCTATCTGGCACTGCCGCTGACAGTAACGAAGGATGCCTCTCACAACTGTGGTGTAGAGAAGTAATGAAGGCCTTTGTATGGGATTTGAACATGGCCCAATGGCGTGCAACCTGGTGAAGAAATGGGCAGATATGATTGATATGGCGGAGTTGTTTTGGGACGGGAGCAGAAATAGTTTCGACAATTGTTAGAAAACTTTAATTGCAAAAAGACAGTATCATTACAACCAACCAGCCCGACAAAGAGTGATTCACTCCAAAGGGAGATGGCAAGGATGAAGACCATACAGCTCTTCATTTAAGTAATTTGTTAAATGTTCCCAGTAGCTTTCTGCCATAGAAGCTGGTAGCCGATAAGAAGACCTGCCGAGACCTTCATTGCTAGGCACCACTTGGCTGGCATTGACCCCAATGCAGCTTCAAAGAAGCGAAAATCGCCAGAAGTTCGCCAGCAGTGTCAAAGACTGGATAAAAGTCACGATAAGCCGCTGTCGTCATGGGTCTAATAAACAGCTCGACCTCGGCGTCGTGCTAGACTGGATCCTCAACCCTTGCCGACAAGATTTGGGGGAATGGAGATGTTGTTACGACAGCTTCAATAGCTTAGCCCCTATGGAGTGCCTTTCACTTTCTACTGCTTGAATGCAGGGCCCAACAGTATGATCTACTGAGTTAAATGTTGGGTGAGCCTTGAATTCAGAAATCTGGGCTTCCGACCTGGGGACTAAGGAACGTGGTGTAGAGCGAACGCCCATCCATCATACCAACAACGAACCCGTATCTTGAAGTGTAAGTATTGTGCTTCTTTTTGTAGTGCTCAATCCTTTTGCTTGACGATGAGACACCTCAAGCGAGATTCCACGTGCTCAGCATTTACGTATGATACACGTCTGCACTCTGCACCGTCATCTTCCTCCACCTGAATTCCACAAACCCAACCCTCAGTATACGGCAACCCTGAAATAAACAATCATCGTCTAACTATATAATCAGTGTGTCGGGACGTCACAGCTAGATGCTTCAGTGTGTATTTATCAAGTACATTCGATATATGATCTCTTTGCCTGCTAACAAGGCATGTAATAATCAAAAGCTCCAGTATCACCGCAAGGTGAGCAATTCGTAGTACCTCTGATCCAACGCCATCAAATACAAGGTGTTCTTGACAAGTTATACTAGCTTGTTCGACGTTCAGACCACTCGACTCCAGCACCTCCATAATATCCACTAACAGCCCAGATCTTTTCTCGCACTCGACGTGGATTTTCAATCGGCCTTGGGTTTGTACAACTTCCACCTGATCACGCAATGCTTCGAAATGAGAAGAGAGATATTTTGCGGCGTGAAGGTTCTAGATCAAAAAACTTTGAAGTCAAGACAAGAAGTTTACAAAGAACTGCAAGCGCATACCGTAGGTTGCGGGCATCCGTGGCAACTCGTAAGCTCCGCTTCAGAGGCAGCATTGCATCCCACTGGCCTCTTCTCCTCAGTGAACCACTGCCTCAGGTCAACTTCACAGGTGCTCAGATCATCGTCAGAATAACTGGCGTCATCTTCGCAACATGATTCTGCATCAAGCTCATGCTGCAAATCCTGCACTTGTCTCTCTAACTTCTTAATATACTCGTATGCACCTGTCAGTATAGAGGCCTTCACATCCTGCAGAATCGTAGCAGAGCTTTCATTAGTCATGTAATGCTACAAATTGAAGAAAAATTTGAGGCCCTGATAACCGAACCCAACTTGGACCAGGCCACCATCCATTACAATCACCACAGGGGTTTGCACGCCACCATTTCGTTCAAATTAGACAACAAGGCACAGGGCGATATCCTTCATAATAAACTCACAGTGCATGAACTCGGTATGGCGGCCCGTAAAAGCTCAAACTGCTCATTGATCCTACTCCTTTTTTTTTGCTCCAGCACCGCTTCGCTAGCAAAAAACACGCCGTACGTCCGCTTGGAACTACGCGGAACAATATGCTCAAAAGCTCTAGGAGTAAAAGTGTAATCGTCATTGCTCTCTGTGTCTGTCAAGTCAGACCAATACTCCTGGTCGACATAGTTGCAGTGGTCGAGAGCATCGTTATACTCCATCGGCATACCCATGTTCAATGCCATCCGCTGTGTCGATAGTGGCGCCAACCCTAAGCCCCAACGGCTTGAAACTGGTCCTTTCCTCTAAATCACGCAATGCTGTTCGACTACCGACTTGAAACTAATGCTGCACCCACCGGATTGTTCACCTGGTTGAAACTAAAAGCCGTTTCTTCCTACAACCAACCGCATCACTTCCCAAACCTTGAAGCAATCTAATCCATCACCAGCGCACTACCTCCACCCACGGTATCGATCCTCCTCAAATCGACTATCCGATTCACAAAAACTAAAACCTGCGATGTCACTGCTTCCACTACAAGCGCAAGCGCACACAACACAGAGAACAATACCAATTAAACCTTGAGTACACTACAGACGATGCAAGTGCGTCAGAAATGGAGCGAGAGAGGGAAATGGGGCCAATCGCCAGCAAACTGTCACAGCGTGTCTTTGGTGGGACACAGTGTTCCCAGGTAGGTGATGCGTGGTGCTTTGGGAGTTACATGCACGATCCAGCTTGCACGTGAATGCACCTGCACAAGAAGAGAGGTGTAGGGGGGGTGAACTGCCTGGAATGGGGGATGGGGCTGGGGTCGGGCGAGCTTTGTAGTAGGGGTGGAGTTGGGGGGGGGGGGGGATAGAAGTGGGGACGTGACAGGCACTGCTGCGAGCATGCGCTCCTCGCTCCTCGTCGTCTTTCTATTCCCGTCCCCTCCTTTGGACTTGCTCCCGCTTTGACATGGCGTTGGTAAACTTCTGTCCAGCTTCATGTGGGGCACCTATTCCCAGGGCCGTGTCACTCGGCCAGTTTGATGCCTGCAGCCTTGGAGCTGCTGCTCATTACCTCTTTACTTCATTCCCCCTACGGAAACGAAAGCCTCTGTCCGTCCTCTGTCCGTCCTCGAGCACGAGGTGGCGCAACCAGTCCACAAGATTCTTCTCCTTTATCTTCTGCTTCTTCCAAATGAGACACAACCCAGCCAGCGACCAAGCAACGACGAGCCAGAAATATGATAGGGCAAAAAGAAGGTGCATGCACGTCCCTCATCGTCGTCGACTCCTGTGCACACTTCTAAGTCGCCCCAGGTTACGCATGCACCTGCTGTGACCGTCGCTCTTTCTCCCCCCCCCCCCCCTTTCACCAGTCGGTAACAATGCCAGCTCGCTCCCTGGCTGATGCGCCACCTCGTGCTCTTCATACTCACGACGTGGCTCACAGTATGAGTGTGTGTGTGTGTGTTGTTGTGTACGCGTTTCTCCCAGTCTTCGCTGCGGGTTGCTCATCCGCGCTGCCATGAGAAATTCTGGTATGGGGTCTTTGAAAACTGTGACCTTGTCGTGTTGTTGCCATGGCTTAGTCACATGCATGCATCCTCGATACCCTTTGCCACTTTTTTGTCCGTGGTACACAGTTGTTTCAGTGTTTTTGCGAATTTGGGTTTAATGTGTGCGAAGTTTACCGCACACCAATTTGTTCATTTGTATCTTTTAATACCAAAATACATTCTTTAAAGAACCTATGAAATTGTAGGGGATCGGGAGAAGAGGAAGTTCGATCCAAGACAAGATCACCAAACTATGAAGTTTTAAAGACGTGTTGGCCAAACGAGAAGAAGATGATAAGTTTCCAATAATTTGGCAATGGTTCTTACAACATTCTCAAATTCGACTCTTCAAAATTAAAATTAATGAACAAGGGTGTGATTTGTGGAGAAATTCATTATCATCATGTTGGAACACTTAGATTCTCTAAGGTTGACTTAGCAAGTTCTTTCTCCTTCCTTAATACTGTATAATATTGCAAACTGTTGGATTTTTAAACTTCAAATAATGGTGATACTAATACTAATACTAATAATAATGGATAATAATAATGATATTAATAATAATGATGATGATAATAATAATGACTTATAAGTTTTATATTGGATAGTATTTTACAAATAGAAAATATGCATGTGCACTTATTGATTGGATTGATATTCATGCAGAAAAGAATGACAATAATAATAATGATAATAAAAATAAGATCTATTTCTCATACATCTTTGTATGAATCAAATTTTGAGATTTTTGCATCAATTAAGATTTTTGCATTAAATTTATGCAATGTGACTTTTCAAAATATATACTTTAATTAAAGATAGCATTTGAAGATCTAGTCCTACTATGCACACTTATATACATGTGTAGTTATGTTGTTCAGTACTTAAATTAAAAAAAAAAAAAAAAAAAAAAAAAAATTGTAAAATTATTTATGTGTGTTACATTATTTGTAATGTTTTTAATGCAGCAACATGCAGCTTCATTTTTTTAGATAACATTATCATTTGATTCATAATGCTAGGATGTTGTGTTTTTTGTTTAGTATGTAAGTAAAAAACATGTCAAGTGGTTGATGGGTTGTGGTGGCAGTATCAAAAATTGTAGCAGTATCAACAATATTCTATATACATGTAGATATATATTTTCAATAGCTTTGAACACGTATCAATGATCAAACATGGTTTTTGTGATAGTTTTGAAATAGCAGATTAGCTAGAGAATTATTTTTTCACCCAATTACTGCTGAAGGCCAAAATATGCTATGGCTTAATCACTGAGAAAGGTTTTCATTCAACTTTTGTATACTTTAAATCAAAAAGCTGAGAAGCACAATTGACCTATCAAATAAAATTTATAGTTATTTATCAATCATAAAGCACATAATTATAAATTATTTTTGCGAATAGAATTCACATTGAAAAAAAAGTAGTCTTTAAGTATTTTTGAAAAAAAGAATTAATCTTGGTTGAGATTTTTGACAAAAAAATAAAATAAAAAAAAGAAGAATAAAAATGAAAATGGTTTCATTCAAAATATCATAAATTTGGGTCAAAATATTTAACCAACAAAAAATACAAAAAAATATAATAAGAAATTCAAACTGTTGAAGACTAAAAGAAAAATTAGAAAAGAAAATGTAAAGAAAAGAATAATGAAAAAATAAAATAAAATAAATGTGTACAAGTGACAAGGCTATGAAGTCTTATTCCATTGATGACCTAATTGAGCTCTTCTCGTGCTCTTCAACAACTTCCATCAAAGGATGAAAACTTTCCAATGAACGATATACGTCACGATGACCATTCATCCATCGCGCAGGGCGTCGCGATGCGGCTGAGTCCAGATCTCGCTGCGACCGCCATTGTCGATGATTGCAGGCCATGCCCCGGGCGCGGAATTCATTGCTCGTTGGTGTGTGTGTCAAGTTCACAGGAGCTGCTGTTGCTGCTGCTGCGGAAGGGAGGAGGAGCGCTGGAGCCTCACCAGGTTTGCCCGGTGGGACTGCGAGTGCGGAAAGAGCATCGGCCAGACTGTCGTTTTGACGCCAGTGTGATGCATGCGTGTTTGTTTCTTGCGTGCGCTGGCGCCCCCGCGAGAGATTGGGTTATGATGTCACGGCACGGCACTCACGTAGGGTCAATCGGCAAATTTAGACTGTGGGGTGGTTGGTGATCGCATGCAGCGAAGCTTCACGAGTAGCTCAGAACATGGGTCACTTTTGGGGTAAATCGGAGGTCAACCACACCCTCGTTGAACACGAGGCATTCTCCGGACCAGTCCACCCAGCGACAGGCGCAAAGGAATCACCTGGCGGCACCAAGCGCAAGTCTCTCATCGCTTGGCTTCATTGTTACACATTCTTTCGAATTATCTGGAATCTTGCTGGGTGCCATCTGGCCCGATGCGGTGTGCACTGGTTGATTTTGAGGTCCTTGCTTAAAAGTTTTGAGGTCCTGCAAGGCTGCCGTTTAAAATTTCCTAATAACAGTGCCGCACCGTGACTTACGTAGAATGAGTTACGTAGATTATGCTGCGGCGGCACCATGGATGCCCCCATCACAAGCGGGAGATTGCTGTGGCAAAACAAGATTAGCCATTCCTCAGGGTTCAACTGCCACCTCGTGTTCCAGAGGCAGATTATCGGATTGGAACCAGCGCGCAGGTGAAATTCTTCCAGATATGCAGGAGTGTGAGCATTCAGATAGGCGTTCTGGAGGAATTGCAACTACCTCTGCATTCCTCATGGAACATGAAGGGCGCTCGCATCAGTACAAAGTACTCTGTCATGTACAAATGGAGCGGTTATCATTCGCTGGGGGCTTCGGGAGTTTGTCGAATCAGCGGATTCCTCGCCCAGAATGACAAAGAGCATTTGCGGATCGCGGGCCGAGTTAATAAGGGCATGAGCAAGGTGCGACAATCGTCAGCGGCCCTGCGGTCACGGCGAAGATGCATCTCGGTACGGAATGTGATGGCAGATCCTGCCGTTTGGCGAGGTCAACCCGCCCTCATGGATCGCAAGGCACTCAAATGCGGCGAGTGCCAAGGTGAGCAGCAGCAGTGAACTCGCGAGCATGGAACATGAGCCTCCGTTGGCCATGTGCCTCCTTTAAGTCCTTCACTGACAAATGTGTCGGAATCTGCTGCATGATCATCAAATGAGGCTCGTTATTTACCTCGGAATCCGAGCCTGACAGCAATCCCTGCCATGAAAATCTCATCTCGGCTTAGTGAAGGCTAGCTCTTCACTAGACAAAAAAGTAAATAAATAAAAAAGGCAGGAAGAAAGAAAGAAGAGTCGCCGCAAGTCGGATCCACTATTGTATACATGTATTTCTCATATCGGCTGCAATTTTTAAAATTCTGTATGGTAGGTGGGTGGAATGAAAGGATGAGCAGCGTAACAAGAGCCGCAAATATCTGTAGCTCATAGATTGCAAGGCTCAATATAATTCGGATTCTGTGCTAGCAGAAAAGACTGCACTCTGCATGCTGCAAGTACATTGTCTCGGGTGTAAGGAAACGAGAGGCTGCCGTACGCTGGCTCATGAAACATGAGGAGTCAGATGGCAGGCCCTCGCAGCACCTCCTTATTGGATTTTGTTTGTGGTAACGCTTTGTCCAGAAGTTAGACGTCTCAGATTCTGGCGATCGTCAAATGTAGCCAATACAGTACTCCGCGCATGGAGTGGCTTGGTTGAGAGCCCTGCCTCACTGGCACCCAAGGGGGCATTTATTTACTCGCATCAACACAAGACAGCCAACATAATACTCCAACACAAAACCTCACAGGGAAAGTCAAAAAAGAGAGACGTCGAGAAAAGTAAAGAAACTCTTCGTTAATTCCAACAAAGGGTTCAGCTTCTATCATTGGTGAACTAAAGCTGAACCAATCAGTTTCAATTTCCCAGCATGTAGGCTCTGGGTGGTACGTCGGCGGAGGCTGCACCAGTGGGCAAACATCACTCACTCCCTGTGGAAAAATTCATACCCTTGCCAGCAACGAGAATATCTAAACTGATACGATTGGGTCGGTTGCTCACGTCTTATCTTCGAATATACTGTGAGAAGCATGTTGCACAAAGCAAGCGTCACATGTGTGATAAAACAGCATTATGCAATAAGGTCTGGTATTCGTCAAGTGTTTTTTAGTGGAATTGATCAATCCCTTCATTGGATGAGTAATTGTTTGTGAGATGCTTGGTGGGATAGTATATCTACCTTTTGAGTTTAAGTGTCAATTCTGCATGTTGTAGTA